GTTCCTCCGCGCACAGCCTCTCACTGACCACCTTACTGGTGAACCTGTGATAAAGAGAGAGAGCATGAGAGAAAGGGAGAGGAGGGAGGGAGGGAGGGAGGGGGAGAAGGGAGGGAGGTAGAGAGAGAGGAAGAGTAGGTTCCTCCGCACACAGCCTCTCACTGATCACCTTACTGGTGAACCTGTGATACAGAGAGAGAAAGAGAGAAAGAGAGAGCATGCGAAAGAGGGAGGGAGAGAAGAAGGGAGGAAGGGATGGACAGAGACAGAGAGAGAGGGGAGGAAGTGAAAGAAACAGATTGACACATGCACGCACGCACACACACACACACACACACACGCACACACGCACACACGCGCATACACGCGCATACACGCACGCACGCACGCACGTACACACGCACGCGCACGTACACATGCACACACACACACACACGCACATGCACACGCATACGCACACACGCACACCTGTCTACACACTAACGACTCACCTATCCACAATGTCGGCTGTCCGGCGGTCCTGATGATTGAACCACTGTCGGATGACGGCTGGCAGACAGCGCAGACTCATGTAGTACAGTCCGCACGCCAACCTCTGAATGTCCCGCGCACGCAGCTCTGTAACCACGGCAACCACGTCGTTAACAATCGCGCGGCACATCGCACGGCCACGTCTCCGTAACTGTGGAAACCGCGTCGTTAACATACAGCTATGTAACCACGGCAACCGTATCGTCAACAATCGCGCGGCCGCCAGTCTGTAACCATGACAACTGTTTCATTAACAATCATGCTGCAGGCCGCACAGTTGTGGCTCAGTAACCGCGGTAACCGCGGCAACCGCGGTGTAAAAAGTACTTCGCACAACCACTAATCTGACCACAGCAACCGCAAACGCTCTGTAACCATGGCGACCGAGTCTGCCCAAATAAAACCACTTCGCGTCTCGCCCTCGCTCGCTCGCTCACCCTCGCCGTGGCACGTCGGTTCCGGCTGCAGCCACGAGGGGTCAGCACTCTCCGGCATCAGCTTGAAGAGCGTGGCGAGTAGGCTGTCGACGGCGTGGCTCCGTCTCAGGTACGAGGCAAACTCTGGTCTCACCTGAGAGAGATGAGACAGAGAGATAGATGGTTAGCGCACGGGGAGAGGGGGAGAGGGGGAGAGGAGGAAAGGGAGAGAGGAGGAGAGGCATCAGCTTGAAGAGCGTCGCGAGTAGGCTGTCGACGGCGTGGCTCCGTCTCAGGTACGAGGCAAACTCTGGTCTCACCTGAGAGACGAGAGACAGAGAGATAGACGGTTAGTGCACGGGGAGAGGGGGAGAGAGGGAGAGGAGGAGAGGGGGAGGGGGAGAGGGAAAAGGGGAGAGTATGAAAGG